TTGTTTATGTGGACAAGAGTAAGTAAAAGGACTGAAATGATCATCATAAATTTGCTAACTTCTCACTGATATTGGTACACTTCAAAACTAGTTCTTCCTAAAAAGTGATTTAGAGACCCAAGCAGCCTGCAGGAGAGGCAAGTTTCAATGTTAACAAATGCATGCTCCTGTCTAACAATGGCTTTTGTTGTTGTACAGAAGCAATATAACAAAGCCACGATGCCAAATTACAACATGGTAAAACTTACTTTTACATAATATCACTTATGCAGCACTTTGATGGAAATGAACTCTCCACTAGACTGCTGCTAATATATCTGCATAGCATGAATCCATTTTGTGCACTGCTAACAATAGCAATGCACAATAACTTTATACCTTTAGTAGTTAAGGACTTAGTAGAGAAAGATACTAGCTGAGTGCTAAGTATGGGCAAAAGCTTCTTGATTGCTTGCAAGATGTCCTAATTACATCTTATGCAAATTAAATTTTGAATAGAAGAAACATAATGAGCTATTATTAATTATGAACATTTTTCCATAATAAAAGCCTTCAAGATTAACAAATGTATTTCAAAATAAAAATTTGGGTTTTAAAAATACAGATATGGTTCCAGCTGATTTAAAATTTATGGCATACCACTGAAATGGCAGAATCTACTACAAAAGCTGCATTTAAGCATCACAACAAAAGATGTGTCTTCTTATGGATACGAGTATGCTGTAGGCTTTTACAAAGTCTCTTCTGTCTTTCTTCCTCCTTTACAAGAAAGTAGGTATTAAATGCCATTAATTACCCATTCAGAACAGTTTCCCGTTCTTTTTGAATGGGATGAATAAAGATATCAAAATCAGATCTAGTTTTTATAATTAAATCTGGCTTAAAACCAGTTTGATTTTACATTTCCTTTGGATTGAATTTAAATTTAAAAAGCATTATATAAAAATGGGGAGAGACAGAATAACATTTTGGGCAAATGTTTCTATAAATCTTTGTTCTCTCATAATAATAAGTTGGTATATTGTAACAGTTTGAAAAACAGTGAATCTTGGGTTTTCACATTCCTCTTCTGTGGCATAATGGTAGGAAGGCAAGTTCAATGTTGCTTCCGTATTTGACTAAACTCAATTAAATATTGTATCTGAACCTAGCCAAACTGCAATTTGTCTTAAATTGGATTAGTAAAAAGAGACTAGTTTTAATTTTCAAAGATAGCTCAAGCCATTAAGTAAATCACAGTTTATAGTTTAGGCACACTATGTAATTCTGATTAATTGAAATCAGAAGCAAATATTTCCTAATTCCCTCCCATAGCTAGATTGGAAGAAGAAAAGGGAGGGGCAGAATAGATGCCAGGGACTTCTTCCATAAACCTTTGTTTATTTTTATGTCCAATATGAGCTATTAACTTGTCAAATATGTAACAACATACTTATTTCAGCATGAATATTTTAATTGACTCCAGGCAGATACTTGGTGTATAAACTGAATGCAAAGAAAAACATTTACTGTCCCCCAACAAATATTATGTTTTAAATCAAGAAATGGAACATAATATTCACTACCTCAATAATAATATATTTCCAAAATAGATTAATCTGGTGTTTCAAGAATATTTGTACACGTGATGAATAAATTAATCTGGAATCGATATGTCATAACAATGTAATCTGTATGCTGATCCCATTCTTAGATAGCTTCTTATCTGTCATGGTTAAAGGCACACTCTCCATGGTATTTAGGCATGGAATAATATATATGTTTACCAGAAAGGATGATGTTTCTGCATTTAAGACAACTCCCATCTTTCCCTAAAAAAGTTTAGACAAGAAAAAACCATGTTCCCAGAAAGTTTTATGTCACAGATAAATTATTTGGGAAATCGGGTACTTCAGGTAAATAGATATTATAGCATTTAATTCAAATATCAGACTAAGCTTAACGGCAATTAGTCTTTGGATTTCAGCTACTGCTGAGTTCTTCTTGATCAAATCAGAAGCTAAGATGCAAATAAAAGCACAATTTTTAATTGTGTCTAATTTTGTGCATTTTTTAAATTAAGTGCTGTATGCCACAAATCACTTTCATAGTAGATGGGTCAGTACACAAATATGATAAATTAAATAATATTCAGTTGCATTCCAAAACATGATTCCTCAATGTAAGCATCCCAGATGTGTTAAGACTCCAACTTCTAACTGGAAATTATGATTGGTAATCCCAATACATCTGGAGAACATCAGGTTAGAAAAGGTTTATTACACAGTAAGGCAATCAGCAAATAGGCCTTACAGATCTAATTGGACAACTCTAAATATGTAGGAACCTTTTGGTTTCTCCCATGTAAGTGTCCTCCTGCCAAATCCAAATATTTATTTCTTTATCTGAAGAGAGAGATTTAAGCTTCCAGTATAGTGCCAGTTCATAGAATAGAAATTATTATTAAGAAAGGTATCAACCTAAAACAATCTTAAGGGTTTCACAACAGGTTAAGATTTTAAATATAATTCCTCTTTTTCCTGAAAATCACTAACAGTCCAATAGATTCTCTAAAAATATACAATAGAATATTTTACAGAAGAATTTGGAATTATCATAGTGCTGATAAAAATTGCAAATGTAACCTGGTTGCATGGGTGTCCTTGTGCTGATCAACACATCACATAATATAGTTAATGGTACATGATGACTGAAGGCTAGTGAAAAAAATTTATAAGCAGGAGAAAGAGGTGAAAGATTTTCTCCACATAGGTTATTGTCTTGAATAGTCTCAATTGTTTCTAAAAAATTTCTACCCATTCTTTTATTGCAACTCTTTCTTTACTATTATTTCATGGAATGTTTGGGGGGGAATTGAAAAAAATGCTCAGATTTTGTCTAGATAATGAACTAATATATCCAAGGGGAAAATCTAACATTCGTGTCCTGTTTATAATTGATTTGTTAAATTCTATTCAGTGCAGCATGCAAATACCCATATACTCTTCATGAACCAATAACATTCCTCAATCTGGCATAGTTTTAAAGCAGAGAAGTTGAAAAGACCATATCTTCTTATTCAATGATCATAGGTTCCTGGACTCCATGGACCAGGGAAGGGCTGCCAAGAATCTCCTGTAATTTGATGACACCTATTCAATGGATTCAGGGGGGAAAGATATTATAACCAATGGAACTGAGGAGCAATAGTATGCAAAAAGTAAAGTCTAGGACTATTAAATTATCCGAAGTAAGTACAGGCATGTACTTACTTTCAAATAGTAGTAATTAGTGATAACATCTTAGCTAATTACTTCTTTATAGTTTTTCATATCATGCATATGGAAAACATGAACATGTTAAACTTCCAATTTGGGTGATACCATCACATATTTTTTTGACTATACCAAGATTTGTGGTTATGGAGGCGCCATCTTATAAAGACTTGCTATATCTGAGTGGTAGTGGTGAATGGTGCCTCAAATCAATAGAAGTTTTGAGACGGAAGTATCCAGACTTTTCTTGGCTTGTGTATAGACAAATTCAAGAGAGATG